TCTGGAGATATTCCAGCCCTGCCTGGCCGCGGTGCTGTGCAGCCTGCTGTGGGTGACCCTGCTTGGGCAGGGGGTTGGGCTGGGTGACCCACAGAGGTCCCTGCCAACCCCTGACTTTCTGTGATTCTGTGAATCCCAAACCCGTGTCGCAGCACCGGCGGAGGCAGGGCAGCACCAGAGGTCTCAGTAAAGAGCAGCAGGTACAGGGCATCCCGCATCCGTTGCCAGCGCGTGCTGGGCGCGAGCAGCATCCCTCCTGCTGTATGAGCTGCAACGTAAGGCCTTTTTCCGCTCGATTTCTCCAGGCCCTCAGCCTGGTGGTTCCTGAGGATCCAACCCAGGAAGTGGAGGAGTCACAGAGGGAGGTGGTGAGTGATGAACCTCACCAGTGAGTCCGTCTTCTCTTTCCCGGGCATCCGAGGCTCCTCCACACCTTGTCTGCATTCTCCACATCTTCCTGCCACTGGCTCTTGCCAGACTTTGAGCAGTGAAGATGAGGACGGAGGACAAGCAGCTCTGTGGAGAGGAGGTTTGGGGTGGGTCTCCCTGGCCAGGAGATGGGGTGTGTCAGTGGACATGCCCCTTCCCTGTCATGCTGTCACCCCTCCATGCTTTGCAGAGTAGGAGCGGGCTGCGTTACACATGTGCAGGTGCTCAGATACAGCGGTCGGAGCAGAAAAAGCCCTGACGGCCCTTTACACCCCCCGTGTAGCTGGTGGGAGGCTGTGGGGTGCCCAGCCTCCCAGCTCCAGTTCCAGCAGCGTGCAGAGGCTGAGGGCAGGGACCGTCTGGTGCCTGTTGGGAGACCTCTCTGAGATGTCCTTGCGCCTCTTCAGCCTCTCCGGGACACGCTGAGCAGCGAGGGCTGCGTGCTGGCTGAGCTGGCCAAGGGACAGCTTTGGGGACCCCAGGGGAACCGGCCTGCCGTCCCCCCCGGCGTGGGTGCTCTGCCTGGGACAGCGTGGAAGGACCCCGAGCCTTTTTTGGCAAGTGAAGGGCTGTCATTCCTTGGTGCTAAATCAGCATCGCTGGGAGGGATGCTCATCTCTTCACCAGGTCTGAACATGAGGAAGAATTTCTTCCCTCTGAAGGTAACGGAGCCCTGGCCCAGGCTGCCCAGGGAGGCTGTGGAGTCTCCTTCTCTGGAGATATTCAAGACC